GGGAAAGAAAGACGTGCTGCTCAGGAAGCACGAATGGTGGCGACAGCACGCTTGTGGATTTGTCATGGTCGGAATTTTCCACAGGCCCTGGTTAATAGAGGGTGGACGACGTGTATGTTTACTTATGAATCTGGAGTTGTCATGACAGAGTGGGTACACGTGTTCCCTCTCCTCGCTCAGCCTGTAGCTTTCTCCCTGCCTCCCAGACCACCGACTTCCTCGGGGTTGTGTCTGCGCGGTACTCCGCGGCGTGGCAGGGGCCGGTGTGATGATAACGTGCTCTAGAAAAGTTGGGCAAACGCAGCGGGAGACTCACCAGTGTCCAGTTTACACCAACAACTTTGTTGCTTTCAGAGTAGATTGCTTTCACTGGGGTCCTCCTCATTGGCCAGTCTCTAACGAAGGCTTAGTGTTCACCTTAATCCTGCCACGCCATTTGAAAAAATAGGGGCAAGTCACCTGCAATATGGTATTTGCATGTTAAGTATTGCAATTGGTGGTATTGACGATTGATTTAAATTGTCACGTGGTGGCTCCTTGAATAGGTGTTTATACAACATTTTTAGGTCCACAAGTAGACACATATGAACAGTCCATTGGTTTATCCCACTGAGACTTTGTCGTTCCCTTCGTTCCGCCACCTCCCCTCAGGGTCCAGGTCTGTGAGAGGCCACCCTCGGTGACCACACAAAGTCCTATCGTTGCCTGGTTGTTTTGGGCATTCCAGTTAATTTTGGTTTGAGCAGGCAGGGGATGAAATATTTGCTTTCTTCCTGCTGCTCTTTAACGCTGGGGAATCTGGTGCAGACAGAGGGATGTCCCGGAAGCCGGAGGACCTTTACGTGCGGCGTCAGACGGCGCGGATGAGGCTTTCCAAATACGCGGCGTATAACACGTACCACCACTGCGAGCAGTGCCACCAGTACATGGGCTTCCACCCCCGCTACCAGGTAGGCCCTGGGGCGCCAGGCCCTCTCCCGGCTCACGCTTGCCGTGGCTCCACCCAGGTGTTTGACCTCTGCCCACCTCATCTGTTCCCTTGTTCTTTCGTGCTTTCATTCCAGAGTGGGCGATGGAGAGTTCTGGAAGCCCTTGCTTCCTGGTCTACTTGCAGCCTCGGTTCCCTTCAGTAGTCTAAATTATTGCCGGCACCAGAGAACAATGGTTCTCCTGGGGTTGCAGGTTTGTCTGTGGCCAGGTCTCCTGGCTGTGCAGGTCATCTTGTCTTTCGGTCCTAGCAATTTCCAAAGTCAGTCGGGTGCAGCAGGCGCTCGCTGAGTGCTTCGTATGTACCAGGCGCAGGGGCCGCAGAGACGAAAGAGATGAGTACGCTTTGTCCCCATCCTCAAGACTCCGTCCGGGAGGGAGATGTGCATGGCAGCAGGACTTCAGGACCACGTGAAGGAGGCAGAAAGAGCAGAGGAACTGTACTGATAAGGGGAGGACTCTGCATTCACTGAGCACCTACTGCGTGCCAGGCAGCGTGCCCAGGCACTTTTTACGTGTCAGTCCCTCGCAGCTGTACTACGTGGTAGAAAATATTTGTCCTGGACACACACATGGACAAGGCTACGGACTCAGGGCTCCAGCAGTCTGCAGCCCAGGCTGGTAACCTGAAGCCACACCTATAATCCACTCGGGGTGCACTGGTTAGGAACTGTCCCATCTAGTTTCTCATTTTACACTAAAGCCTCGTTGTCCCCATTTTATAAACGAAATCTGTCTGGGTGGGGAGCAGAGGAGACGATGTGGAAGCATCAGTAAGAATAGGCTGAGGCAGAAGGAACAGCCTGCACAGAGGAGGGGAGGCCGGGTCTCAGGGATGGGAAGTGACCTGCGTTGGGTGTCGCTGGAGCCGAGTGCGGGGCGGGTAGACTCAAGCCCGGAGGCTGGAGGGGCCGGCAGAGACCCGACCAAGGCCCAGGCACCGTGAGGAGGGATATGGGGACTTTTGCAGTGAGAACTGGGTAGAGCCAGATACAGGCAAAGCTGAAGTTTTGACTAGTATCTTAACAGCCACGTGGAGGCTGGTTGTTGATAAGCAAAAGGCAATATCTTACATTTAGTGTTTCATTTCAGACTCAAGGGAAAGAAGGGAGGAGGGAGAGAGCCGGAGCCGGTGGGAGCCAGTCAGACACCTGGCAGGGGAGTGAGGCAGGTGGGACAGCCGATGTTCTGGCTGCTTCCAAAAAGGCCCGAGGCCTGAGCACTAGCCTCTCTCTCCATCCCTTTTGCAGAGGGAAGCAGCAGCCAGAGGCTTTGATTCTCCCAAGTCTGCCTGGCCTTGAGCTTGGCTGCCAAGGAAGTAGCACCTGTCTTCCTCCATACTAATTTTTTTAAGTATGCAATTTTCTTGTTGATGAAATTCCTAAGGACGTAGGAACAATTATTTAAAGGATCAAAATAATCAATAATCCCATTTGTCCCAGATAAACTCTCCTAACTTTCTTCTTGGAGACAGAGTCTTTCTTTCAAGGCAGAAAAAAATATCTGTGAAGACGTTCTCCTGATTTTGAAATTTAGGGAATTGAAAAGGACTCGAGGATGTAAGTCCTCGTCATCTCAATAAGCATCAGCAGTGACTTGTGGCGTGGAGCCCTCGGGCTGCATTAACAGAGGGAGAGAGCAGGGTGGGAGGGACCAGGAGCCTGTGCCATGGGCGGCTGGGCCACATCTGGCTCGTGTTCAGGGGGCACTGAGGTCTGGGGGCTGTAGTTGGAGAGGAGCACGCCTGGGGGGTGCAGGGGCTTGGAACCAGCTGGTGAGGGACGTGGAGGGCGCATGACCTCCTGGCTGCCTTCTCCATGCCTCCATGCTTCTGCTCACGCCGTTCCCATCTCCTTCACCTCCCAGGGCTCCCCTGACCTTTCTTGTGAAACTTCTTGGTTGCATCCTCCTTTGTTCCTTCCCCAAGTCAAAGCTCTCTCTCCCTCATCTCCGCTGCCAAAAGGCTGTGTGGCTGTAGCCACAGCGGGAGCTCAAGGCCACTGTGGGCAGGTCTGCCTTTCTCCAGCCCAGAGCATGTGCGGGGAGGGCCGGCAGTGGGGAGGGCCCTGAGAGGACACCCGTGGGAGCGCAAGGCCGGGCTGCGGGCCACATGTGAGAGCAGCCTGTGCGCAGATCTGGAATGGGGGTGGCTGGTAAGTGGAGGCTGGAGGAAGTGGCTAAAGTGCTGCTAGACTTGTGGACAGGAGTGAGCCCAAGACCTCTGAGTGTCAGTTTCCACATCTATAAAAGGGGAGTGGTGACAGTACCCACTCCTAGGACTGTTAATCACAACAGGAAAGGGACAGAACAGGGCCTGGCACGCAGTGTTACAGAAGTGTGCAAGCAGTTGCAGCTGTCATCTTACTGCTGTGCTACTGTGCATGATAACTATGATAGAAAAATACATCTATGAGAATTAAAGCATCAACGCTTCAGTTGGTGACCCATGACGGGGCTGGGTCAGATCCAGAGTCCAGAGGGCTTGGCGCCTGCGTAGTACAGCTGGGGGCCGCACCATCGGGGTTGGGGACGGAGCAGGCTCTGCCGTGTGCGTGGCCTTGGGTGTGCTGGCCCCGTCGCCAGACCCGGGCATCTGCACTTTGCACTGGAGCCACCCTGTGGGTTTCTCATGCTGTGGGGTGGAGGCGGCCGTCACCTGCGTGGTGTCGTGGCAGGACGGCCTGGGATCTCCTGGGAAGCAAGGCGGACCCTGATGACAAGCTCCGTCCTTTCCCCGCACCCCGCAGCTCTACGAGTCCAGCCTGCACGCCTTTGCCTTCTCTTACTCCATGCTGGGAGAGGAGGTGCAGCTCCACTTCATCATCCCCAAGTCCAAGGAGCACCACTTCGTCTTCAGCCAACCCGGGGGCCAGCTGGAGAGCATGCGGCTGCCCCTCGTCACAGACAAGGTACGGCCCAGGCTGCGGTGGGGCAGATCCAAGTGGCTTCATGTGGTCCCCGAGCTGGGGCGCTAGAGTCAGTAGCTGCCTGATGAGTCGGGGCACGTGGAGCAGCGTAGAGGCACCGACGCAGTGACTGAGCTTGGAGCAGGCTGGCGCAGCGCATGGAGGCACTCAGGTTCCAGTTTCAGTCTTGTTCTGCCACTTACTGGTTGTGTTACTCGGACTTGTCACTTAATATCCCTGAGCCTCAGAGTCCTCACCTGTAAAGTGAGGCAATAATAACGCTTGGAAAAGCTTGTGGCGAAAATTATTTTGAATAACCAACGTAAGGAAGGCGCCAGCACCATGCCTGGAAGAGACGTTTGTCCCCCCTTGACTTGTCTTGAACGCTCGCTGTCATGGAGCGTTGTGAACAGTCTTGGGCAGACAGAACAGCACGGTGAATCCCTGAGGGCCACCCCCCCAACTTCAGCCTTGTTTCGTTTGTCCTTCTGTCCTCATCTCCCTTCCTGTGTTGTTTGGAAGTAAATCCCAGATGTATTTTTCATCTATAAATATGTCACTGTATATCTCTGAAAGATACATTCCCTTTATCTTTTGAAAAGATTATTCTTAGTAATCCGCTGTCTCTGTGGCCACTATTCTTCTTACAGAGATGCTCCTTGCAGGGCTCTTGGCTTGACAATTCCAGCCTCACCGTCTGAGTCCACCCCTGCTGTTGAACTAGTCCCAGTAACACAGGCCACGCGTAGAAGGCTGCCTCTCGTTCTCCAGAGTGCCGGGCCCCTGTGCGGTTGAACCTGGCCTTTCAGACCAGCAGTCTGTTATTGAGCAATGAAAACATTTGTAAAGCACCAAAGAGGCTTTCACTGTGAGGTGTCTCCTAACCCAGGGGCTGAGTTGGGGTGTTGCAGTGATACCCCCTGGATCTATAACAGCATAAGAGCCGGGATTTTTCCCTCTCTCCGCCTGCATCCCAGCTTTCCCGTCAGAACTGGCCACGAGCACCAGCTGCATGCACAGCTTTGTTGCAGGTGCTTGGACAATTCGAAGGGAGCAGAAACCCTGGCTTGGCCAGATGAGCTCATTGCTAAAGAAGGAGTTGAAGAAAACCTAGTTAGTTACATAAGAGATATTGCTGCCTGAGTGTGTAACTGTCTAGCTACGTGGGAAAGTGATCGGGGGTGTCGTGCTCACCGTGTGAGGAGGATCAAAGACACACAGGGGTAACGTGTACTCAGAGCACAGTATTAGAGCCCGGTATGGGAGGGTCATGGATTTGGCTGCTTGATATATGCCAGTTAGTTTCTGTCCCTTAACAAACCACTTCCAAACACACATTTATTTAGCTTCTGATTCTGTGGGCCAACAGTTCCGCTTGGTTCAGCCAGATGGACGGTTGTTCTGAATCAGTTGTACCCGCTCGGAGTCCGCGGCGAGCTGTCAGGTCAGCGGGCGGGCTGGCTAGAGTGGCCTCAGCAGGGAGGTTCCTCTCTGCTCCATGTGGTGTCCCACCCTCCAGCATGCTGGCCCCACTGTTCACGTGCCAGTCCTCCCGAGGCAGACTCGGAACAGGCACAGCGCCATTTTCCCTACACTTTATTGGTAAAAGCAGGTCACGAGGCCAACTTGGATTCTAGCAGTACGGCAGTCATCTCTGACATGTGATGGAAGAAGCCGCAGAGTCACGCGTCAAGGGCGGGGAATGACTGCGAACACGTTTACAAACACCCCTCACCATACCCGTACTTTGCAGAGTCACGAGTACATCAAGAGTCCGACATTCACCCCCACAACTGGCCGTCACGAGCACGGACTCTTCAACCTGTACCACGCGATGGACGGCGCCAGCCACCTGCACGTGCTGGTCGTGAAGGAGTACGAGATGGCGATCTACAAGAAATACTGGCCCAACCACATCATGCTGGTGCTGCCCAGCGTCTTCAACAGCGCCGGCGTGGGTAGGTGTTCCCAACACACTCTGCTCAGCAGTTTCTGTGCACGAAGACTCGAGAGAAGGAATGTTCCAGAGATGAAAGAGTTAAATATTTGGCATCAAGCCTTTTGTTTTTGAACTTTTAGAGCTATTTTGATTTGTTTGACTTTCCTATGAATATTCCTTTTTCCCCGATGTTTGGTTATCAGTTCATATTTGCAGTGGTTAGAAAAGAAGGGTAAGAAAGACAAGTGTGAGCACGACTTGGAGAGCAGGGTTTGCCTCTCTCTAGTCTCTCTCCTGAGTTGAGGGCCATGGGCAGTGGCAGGTGGCACGTTAGGACAGTTGGAGCCGGCATGTCTGGGGGGCCTTGACTGGCAGTCTCACTGGGCTCTGTCTGGCGCCGGGGGACAGGCCTGAGCCGGCTCATTCTGCCCACGGCAGGCGCTGCCCACTTCCTCATCAAGGAGCTGTCCTACCACAACCTGGAGCTTGAGCGCAACCGGCAGGAGGAGCTGGGGATCAAGCCGCAGGACATCTGGCCCTTCATCGTGATTTCGGACGACTCCTGCGTGATGTGGAACGTGGTGGACATCGACTGTGCCGGGGAGAGAAGCAGGTGAGGTGTCCTGAGAGCTTCGCCTCCCCCAAGCTGCAGTGACAAACGAGCTGACTGGGGAATGCTGTCCCCCCGCGAGGACCAGAGGGCCCCTCCATCAGAAGGCACAGGGTGCAGAGGCCTGAGCCCTGGGTGCAGCGCAAGTGGACTCATAGTCCAACCCTGGCTTGCTTTTAATTTAAAAAAATCGTTATTGAAGTATAAGCATACAGAAAATCATATACTGTATATTAAGTGTGATATATACATACAGAAAAGGAAGTATAATGTATATACAGAAATTTCCATAAACTGAGCACGCCCATTTAACCAACTCCATATGGAGAAAGGGACATCCTCCCCTAAGTCCCCCTCCTGCCACTCGCAGCCCCGCCCTGCCCGCCAGCCTCACTGCCGACTCCTAGCTTGATGTTATTTGCTGCGTGACTTGAGGCAAACGACCGAATCTTTTTGGGTTCCAGCCTCCTTGTCTTTGCCAGGGCTGTTAACACCTACGCTAGAGGTCTGTTGTGAGGGTTAACTGAATTATGGTCCACAAGCGTGTTCAGCGCATGGAAGAAGCATGACAAATGTGACGTGCTTAGCAGGGTGCCTGGCCCCACGGGGGTCGTGCTGGGTTCTAGCCACGCTGGCCATCCAGTGTCTGTGTCCAGTCGCAAGGCCAGTCCCGGCTGGCCCGCACAAGGCCCCTGGCTGCTGCTTGCATGTCAACCTTGGGACGCCACTCTCCCACCTTCGAGCAGGGAGTTCTCCTGGTCGGAAAGGAACGTCTCTTTGAAGTACATCATGCAGCACATCGAGGCCTCCCCCAACATCACCCACTACGCCCTGATCGGCCTGCGCAAGTGGTCCAGCAAGACCAGGGGCAGCCAGGTGCGGGAGCCCTTCTCCCGCTGCCACGTGCACGACTTCATCATCCTCAACGTGGACCTGACCCAGAACGTGCAGTACAACCAGAACCGGTGAGCACCCGCGCCCGCGGCCCCTGGTGGATGGAGCCCTGAGCCGAGGTCGCCTCAGGTCGGGCTTGGACAGGTCCCTCCCCTTTGCCCCGAGCGCCCGCCTGGGCCAGAGCTTCCACCCTGCAGCACTGGCCTGGCCCTGCTTCTGGTCTTAGTTTTCTAGTGCCGTATGTTTTTGGTATTCACATAAGATCACTCAACTTCATCGGTCCTCGTGAGACTTCACTTTAGTGAGTCACGTTGTGCGATGTGTTTCTCTTGACATGTTGCCTTTTAGGAGCTCTAGCACTGAAGACAAGGATAAAGTAATTTCTGTAGTATGTTCTCTAAACATCTCGCCACAGACGTGCTCACGTCTCCGGAATAATTCAGTCACCAGATACTCGTGAGCACCTGGGTGTGCCAGGCTGTGGGCGCGGCCGAGAGGCCTGCCGGGGAGTTTTGCAGCCAGGCTGCCGGGCCTGCTGGAGTCTGGGCTCTGCCACTGACCAGCTTTGCGGTTTAGGCAGGCGACTCATCTCTGAGCCTCATTTTCCTCAGCTATAAAACATGGCTGGTGTTTTACCCTGGGGGGTTTGTCGTTTCTTTCTAACAGATCAGAGAGGTAGTATTGGTGCCTGCACTTGGCGTGTGGTCATCAAACAGCAGTGCTTGCGTGGTTCAAGCCTCAGGTGCACGCTGCCCCTCCTGGTACACGGACGTTGCCCTTTGCCTCGTTTGTTCTCCTGGTAACCCCTTCTAGCGTAAGGTCTGGGGCAGGCTGGAAGCCCACCCCACCCTCGCAGCTCCCTAGGATGGGGCTCACACTCTGGGTGTCTGGGGGCTGTGATGGGGACGTGAGCTGTGTCCTGTCACACCTGCTCCTCCTCTGTCCTGAGCAGGTTCATGTGCGACGACGTGGACTTCAACCTGCGGGCGCACAGCGCCGGCCTCCTGCTCTGCCGGTTCAACCGCTTCAGCGTGATGAAGAAGCAGATAGCCGTGGGCGGGCACAGGTCCTTCCACATCACGTCCAAGGTGAGTGTGGCTTGCTGCTGGGCAGGCCTCTGCATCTGCCTGCCTCCCCTGCTGTGGCACGGAAATGGTGGGAGCCTTCGGGAGAGGACGCGTCGGCTCTGTCTCGGGAGCGGGGCGGAGCTTGACCACTGGGGAGTGTGCGCAGAGGTTTGTGATCAACCGGAGAAGGGACGCTCCATCAGGTTTCGCTTCTGCTCTCTGATTTTAACTCTGTCCTGTCAGCTTCTGCTCAGTGTGAGACCACCACCAAGGCGCCCTGTGCTGGCTGAGGTCTAGGGCCACGCTCTTCTCTGGGCCCTGGGCTGGTGCCTGGCCACATAACTGAATGGCCCTGCAGGCCAGTTTGATGGCCATGCTGTCTGCCCACAGGCCAGCCTCGGGGTGGGCAGAGACATGATCCCATTGTGTCTGTTCTAGCTGAGCAGGCCGGGGGAATTTAAGATGTCAAATTGCAGCAAGACCCGAGAGTTGTGTGTCTTCTGGGAAACCATGCAGACTGGGGTATCTCTGCCTGAAGGTCTCCCCGATCCTGTGGGCCACAGCCCCTTTCTCTGTCACCTTCTGTCTGTCTTGAATCTTGCCCTGACACCATCAGCCAGTTTTGGTACCAGCTGCGTTTTCCAGCCTCTGTCCTTGCTGGCCTCTGCGAACTCCTTGTGTGGTTCAGAGGGAGGGATCGAAGCCTTCTCTGCCCGTGGAAGCCCATCCTCATTTCTCTTGCAAAGTCGCAAGACCTTTTAATAAAAGGCCTGTACTTCCAGAAGAACTTGGGAATCAGAGTTAAGCCCCCCACCTGCTACCACCATTGAGATTTTTAAATTAAAATTGTGTTAGATTTGTAGTTTAATTTGGGATCTTCACCATATTAAGGCTTTTCTGCCAAAGAGCTGGATGTGCCTTTAAAGCTCATTTTTCTCTTATGTCCTTTGGTGCCACTTAAAACTCTCAGGTATTTTCTCTTTATTCCTATTTTGGACGTAATCTTATTTTTCCATTAGGTTTAAGTGCATATCGATTATATATAGGAAAGCTAGTAGTGTCTTATGATCTTACATATCAATGAAATCACTTAATTTTTTTCATTTCTTTATTCATTAAATATTTACTGAGTGCCCAATCCCTTTGCTCAGAGTGTATACCCAGCAGCTGAGACAGAGGTTAAATATTTAGTTCAGCACTGTAGTGAGAAGCACCCCAAATGTGGAGTGTGTGTCACAGGGACTGTAGGGGAGTCTGTGCAAGGAGAGTCCCTGAGAAAGTGACACTAGCAGAGACTGGCGGGTGGGAGAGCAAGAGCCGTGCGCCCACGCAGGGGCAGAACGTGGGTGAAGCCACCGAGGAGGGTGAGAAGGAGAGTGGCCGAGAGGAGCTGGGGAAGTAGGTGGGCCTTATCAGCCTGGGGAGAGTTCTAGACTTTTCTCTAGGAGTCATTGCAGGGTGTCCAGCAGAGGGTCTGATGAGTTTTAATTATGTATATTAGATGTGGTTTCTCCAGCCGCAGCATGGAAAACGTGCCAATGACATAGTGCCCATGGCCCAGGTGTCCACCCTGGGGCGGGGGATGTGGGGATGGGCCGTATTCAGGTCCCCCGGCACTGACCCTCCCCGAGGCAGGTGTCACTGGGTGTGGCGAAGAGTTTCCAAGGTCCATGCATGGTTCTGTCATTCACTCTAGACCAGACAGCCAGTTTCCTGCATGGAATGATCAATGTCTCTGATTCTTACTGATCACGTTGGTTAGTTTGCACGTGTCCCACTTCGGCAAAACCTCATTTTTCTCAACAGAGGATTTCATTCTTGGAGCATGTGTTCCCCGTTTGCGGCATTCCCCTGAGCTACGCAACCTTCCCTGCTGGGGCCGCACCAAGGCCCTGGGTCCAGCCTAGAAGCCTTGGGGGGGCCCTCTCCCCTCCGGGCAGCCGGAGGTGGCCTGACGCCCCCCGTCCCGTGCAGGTGTCCGAGAACTCTGCGGCGGTCGTGCCAGCCCAGTACATCTGCGCCCCCGACAGCAAGCACACGTTCCTCGCAGCTCCCGCCCAGCTCCTGCTGGAGAAGTTCCTCCAGCACCACAGCCACCGCCTCTTCCCGCTCTCGCTGAAGAACCACGGCCACCCCGTGCTGTCCGTCGACTGTTACCTTAACCTGGGATCTCAGGTGACCTTCAGAGGGGGCACTGTGGAACGCGTAAATCCGAGAATCCTGGAACAGATGAGCTAGAATCCAGGGCTCTGAGTCCTCACTGGTCAACGACTGTGTCTCAGGTGGTTACCCCACTTTACAGCTGGTAATAGCCAGGCGACAGCGCTGAGACGGCTGCCCAGATATAAGAAGTCAGGAGTCGAACCCAATTCTGACGCCAAAACATTTCCATTCCCAAATGAATCCATGTATACATAATCTGGATGAATCTCCCGGAACTGATTTTTAGGATATAGATTTGGAAATAACGTGAAAATATCTCTGGCCCCCCAGAAATCTTGAGCTTGACCAAGTAGTTAGCACTTATTAGATGCAAACCCGGAGTATGATGTTATTGAGCATTTTACGGGAAACGGTGTTTTTCTCTTGGATCCCCTCTTTTTCAGATTTCTGTTTGCTATGTGAGCTCCAGGCCCCACTCTTTAAACATCAGCTGCTCTGACTTGATATTTAGTGGGCTCCTGCTGTACCTCTGTGACTCTTTTGTGGGAGCTGGCTTTTTGAAAAAGTTTCATTTTCTGAAAGGTAACTTACCCTACTCCATCCTGAACCCTGACTTGAATGGCTGTCATCACCTGGGGCCTCTGGGGAGGTGTCCTCTGGGGCTAGTCCTGCTGCCAGTGGGTAACTGAGGCTCAGAGAGGACAAGCGACTGCCCCGGCCACCAAGTAGGCTGGGGCTGGGTTCTGGGGGGGGCGCTCTTTCCCACATTCCTGTCCAGATAGAGACAAGACACATCCCCCTTTCTTTCAGGTGCACTGCAGGTATTTCCAACTGTGTTTCTTTTCCTCCAAAATCCTTCACGTCAGTGCCCCGGTCCCCTTAGATGCTGCTTCCTCCTGGCAGAAGGGTCCTTCCTCCTCGCCTTGGGAGCCACAGCGTGCTCCTGTGCTCTTACGCTAGTCCTTCTCCTTTCCATGCTGGAGCGGCTGAGAATGGCAAGCTCTTGTTCTGCATGACTTTGAAACAAATGATTTCCAGTCTGTGTTTCCAATCTCGATCGGTCCCTAACTGACCTTCACTTTCCTTGGTGGTTCTTCACTCTGACCTTCCTCTCCAGCAGGTAGTTAATGGGCACCAGCAGTGTACAAGGCCTCAGGGAACACTGAGAGGTTTCTAGAGTGTCTGTGCATCAGGAAACACTTCCTCTAAAGGGAGGATCGGACGTGCAGAGAGGGAGGAGAGAGAGAAGATGAAGGAGACCTGGTTGATGTATCGCTGGATGCCAGGAGGGAGAGGGAGGGAGAGTTGCCGAGGCCGGGGACAGTGGGGCCGCCCCCGCCTGGACGGGCGGGCAGGCTCTGGCTGGGTGAAGAAGCGGGTGAGGAGGGTGGGTGGGGTGTGCGGGGATGTGAGCCGAGGGCTGGAACTGAGGACGCTTGGTTTGCGATGCTCAGCTTTCCTCTGCCTCCATGGAGTCTCCCCACCAAACCCGCCATGTGCCAGCCGTACTGTCTGTCTTGCTAAGATTATACATTGTCCCAAAAGAAACAAGGGACTTTGCCTTTCCAAGCGGTGGCCGATCTTGTTACTGCCAGTAGAATCCAGGCGGTGACTTTCATCTGAGTAAACTCACCCTCTTCCTTCCCACGCCTCTGCCCTATCCGCGCAGGTGCCACCCTGTGCGTGATCTGCCAGGACCGGAGCTCGCTCCGCCAGACGGTCGTCCGCCTGGAGCTTGAGGACGAGTGGCAGTTCCGGCTGCGAGATGAGTTCCAGACGGCCAACGCCAGGGAAGATCGGCCACTCTTTTTTCTGACCGGACGACACATCTGAAGAAGACACCAGCAGGTTTTCTGGAAGAGCAGAGTGCTCAGCACCCTCGTGCTGTTGAGGCTAAAGGAAGTTCTAGAACCACAGGGTGTTTGACTGGAGCAGATCCCAGACACTCTCTGCTGCACAGCCCTTCATGGGGTGCCAAGGCCCAGAGGCCCTGGTTTCCAGAGCCAGGAGGAGGAGGAAGATGGCTCTGGGGAGGGCAGGACCAAGCCTGGACTCCCGAGTTCTGGGCCAGACCGCCCTGGGCTGTTTTGAAGTCCATTTCATGAAGAACAAAGTTTTGCTTCCTGTCATGTCACTCATGTGCTTCCATGGACAAACCAGACTTTTCTCTTAGTTCTAAAGAATCTCGGATTATCTTGCAGAGGTGCCAGTATTTCAGTCAGTGGATGGGATTTCAGTTAATTCGGTTTCCCTATAACCTCCTACGAAGCAATATTCCAAAGGAACATTTCAACTATAAAGGCTGGAGACAAAAAAATAAGAAGCAGATCATTTTAAGAAGACTTATTTAATTGCCTACAAGTTTGTTTTTTCAGAAGCTAGCCCAAAGGCATCAAATTTAATAAAGTAAAACAAATTGTTTTACTTCAGAGCAAATATGATTCTATTAAAATAGTAAAGGGTCAATACCCTACCTCTTAGAAAGGGCAAAAATGCAAAGAAGCTTTCTTTAAAAGGTTTTTTTTCTTTAGGGAGGAAATGAGGCTTACAGAGGTTGACCTAAAATTTGCCTTACAAAGGAAAGAGGACCAAATTGCTTACTTGAAACCAATGATAAACACACCAAAGTGATATAAAATAGTTGGTAAGAACCAGACTTGTGATTATAATTTATTGACGTTCAGTTTTCAGTTCCTTAAATAGCTTGTTTTCTCCTACCAATGGTTGGTTCCTTCGGGGAGGATCTCACCTGACTAGAGAGGCAGTGGGAGCAGAAGAGAAGGCCGCAGGGATATGTGTCCCACGGCACTCACCCCTGCACAGCCTGGCAGAACGGGCTGCAGGCCGGCAGTTGAGACGACCACCTATTGCCCAGACATCGGGCCAGGTGCTTCCACGGTGATGTCTTGCTTAATCCTTTCCACGTGTGATCGGGATGATGATTCTCATTTGAAGGACAAGAAGGTTGGGAGGCAAAGTGCACCTCACTCAGGTCACGCAGCTGGAAGAGCTAGAAGCACAGTTCAGACTCTTGGGTCCTGGATTCCACGGTCCAGGGTCCCTACCCCCACCCCCAGTACCACTCTGCTTTTGAAGTGGCCCATAGCTTGAAGGAGAAGTTTTAAAGATATTAAAAAATTAATCAGAATGCATTCTTATACTTCTATCTTAGACATTTATAAGCACTCTAATGGATAACAATCCAAGAATAAACGATTTTAAAAGATAATACCAAAGAGTTAATGTCAATCTTTTTTTTCCCCTAAGAAACAAAGGCCACAAGTACTAAAGGTTTAGATCAATGTTTGTAAAATGATCACTTTGTATATGTCATTATTCCTATTTTGGAATAAAAACTGACCTCCTTTAGTTGTATTTGTCTTTTGTAAATAGCACCTTCTGTGTCATTCTCCCCATTTTGTTAGTTAATTTAAACTTGAAAGAAAAAACCCAAACTAATATTCTTGTCTGTTCCAGTCTTATAAATAAAACTTATAATGCACGTATTGGTTCTTGGTGGGTATTAATTGCATTGTTTTGAGCGAAAGCAGTGTGGCCAGAGATCTTTGGGGTCTATGTGCTTAAAATCTCACGGCCTGACAAAAGGGAGTTTTGGGAAGGAAGTAAGAAGACCATAAATGTGAGCTATGTTAACATAGGAATTCCTGAAGGAGAAAGAGCAGACCGAATTGGATGTGCTGAAAAACAACTATGGGGAAACCAGCTCAAAACGTGCAGAGAAGCCTGCCACAAAGCAAGGACGTTTTGGGGACACTGAGCTTCAGAGTGGCTGCAGGAGGAGATCTGGGGTGTTTGTCAGATGCTTAACAGGGGAAGCGGTTTGGAGCAGCAAAGCCGTGGTTCCCGGCAGCTCTTCCTGTCACACTCCTCGTGTTCCACCCACCTGTGCCAAGCTGCTGGCCAAGGCCAAGGCTAAAAGCGAGTGTGGGGCCCCAAGCAGGAGGAGGGCGCCAGGGAGCCAGGCCTTTGTGAGAATGAGGCGTCGGCACTCCTCTCTGCCCAGCACATCCTGTCCCCCATAATCAGTTGAGGTCACTCATGGTGAACAGAATAAGCAAGCAGGAGCTCCTGGCACAGAAACAAACACACAACTAAGATCCAGAAAACGCGTAGGAAGCACAAAGCTGTGAAAGAAAGGCGGTCACCCAGCCTCAGTGGAGGGTCGACAAAGCCAACACCCCTGTGAAGCAAGTGTGATTAAAAGCAAAGAGTGAGGTTATAATGTACCCAGCAACTTGCAGAAAAGCAATTATAGATCCGGGAAATGAAAAACCTCAGTAGGCAGGTGACATGGCCCAGCACACGAGCTCGAGAGAATGGAGGGCTGGAAGGTGCAGCCGGGGGAGGAAGGGCCGTGACCTGCGCTAACCTCTAGCTTCTTCCCTCGCTCACTGCACGCCAGCCCCCAGGACCCCCTGGACCCCTGCCGGGCACGTGCCCACCTCAGGCCTCTGCTGGGAGAGCGCTTCCCTCCACGTCCCTTGGATCACTACTCATAGGTCACCTCCCCAAGGAGGACCTATCCCAGATTGGGAAACAGCAGTTTTGGGGTTTTGGTCTCCCCCAGTAAAAATAGGAATTTTGTAAGACACATTCACTGCTCCCTCCCCCGAGCCTTGGAGGAAAGGGCAGAGCCTGCCCTCCCTCCGCACCAGGGTCAGGGCTGGCTGGGATGCACTGCTGCCCGGCCCATGTTAGACAGGCCCTGACTCTGTACTCCGGGTTGATGTCAGTGTTCTAACCAGGCCCTTCCTAAGCTCATGTAGAAGGGGGAACTGATGGGGAGGCCTAACCTGGGGATGCAGGTCTCCAACCACTTAGAGAGCCCCTGTCTACACTTCCAGTAATAGGAAACTAAGCAGACCCCAACTTATTTTGAGGCAGGTTTGCCGTTTGGGGTGATAGAGCATTTGTTAGCCATTAACAATTTTCAGCAGGTCTACAGTTAGTGGATGTTCTCAGATTTTTAGTTTCCATCCTTTGCTTTTCATGACGTCTTGAGCTCTTCCCTGCTGTATCTCATGGAAGTGGCTGTGTCAGGACGGCTATGTCATGTCTTAGCCAGATGCCATTGTGAGCAGGAGGCTCCATTCATGCACCTCTAAAAGCCCACACACAACCAAATGTTGGTTCTATTTCTTCACGTAGGACGCACTCCAAGGCCTACAAGAATCCTTTCCAGAATACTCAGGGAGTCAAGACCTTCACTTACCCCAAGTCTCTGCCTCATAGTCCTCAAGTCTAACCAACTAGAAAGTCCTCAAAACCCAGGAGTAGTGATCCAAACAAACTCAGCCTCACTACGAGAGTCCACAGTGGGCTGGGACTGTAAGTTTATGTTTGATCCGTCTACACAGCTATGTAAAATGAACATGCACCATTTTTATATTAATAGTACTTACTATGCCTAGCTTTAAAGAGGGGCTTTTCTGATGTGCCTAGTAGCCTAGTAGGGTCAGAGGTAGGAAAATATCCCCTGAATACTTCCAGCAATTTAAGAACTGTTACAATGAAGGAGGAGAAGTCAAGCGGCAAGAAGCAACATTTATTACACAGGTGTCAGAGTTCCCAGGGCAGGACGGGGCAGCAGGAAGAGCATGGAGTATGAAATCAGGAGACTTTGGTTCATGCCTCCATTCCTGGGCCAAGTCACCCAGCTCCCCAGAGACTGTTAGCTACAAAATGAGCATCAGTAAGTAACATTTTCGAGCACCTACTTGTGTGTCAGGCATTTTACTAGATGACTAAATATCTGTTATTTCATTTAATCAGCACACCAGTGCTCTGAAGTAGGTATTGTTGGGACCATCTTACAGAGGAAGAAGCTAGGGCTCAGAGAGGGTAGATGACTTGTCTGCAATGACACAGCTGTTGAGCGACATAACACATGCCTGCAGGTGTAATAATATTGCCACTAGCATCCCAGCTGGTTCTTAGGCAATTCGCTTCCACTGAGCGCCGTATGTCAGAAGGCGCTGTTGGCTCCTACGGCTTTGCCTATGATAAAAGAATGGATCCGATATTTTCTCACTGCGAAACCCAACTGTTGGGTTGCCTGGCAGAGATGGTCCTGGACGTGAGCACGTATGAAGTATGCTGCGTTACATGCCATCCTGAGTGTGAACGATCCCAGTATTAAAGTTTAGAGGTCACTTCTAATAAACAAATTTGTATTAAACCTCCTAGCTCTGGCTTCAGAGTCTGCAGACAGCTTTTGTTTAAGGGAAGACCATGAACCAAGGGTGCGTCCAACGTGGACAGCTTTCATTTCTTTTTTAGTCTACTAGCTTAGGCAGGCTTCCCAGCTCGGAGGGAATTAGCATTTCAGTGAACAAAACAGTTGGAAAGGGCAGTGCAAATTTTTAAAGGCCTTCGTGTCTAGAGAAGAAACAAGAATTCTATGACCGCATTTGTCATTCGCCGAATATACTGTCCCAGTTTTCTCTCTCTTTTCTTTCTAAAACTTTGGCGAGCGCTCATTTTTCTCGTTTGGGATTTCAGGCCACTCTAACTCTACTTGTCGCTCCTTCAAAGGGTCTTTCCCAGGCCTGCTGGGAAGGGGAGTTTGGGCGGTGGTAGGGGTCGAAACGCTAAGCTCTGGTACCTCAGAGCAGGACCTTATTTGGACACAGGGTCGTTACTGATGGAATTAGCTGAGTTGAGGTTATAGGGGAGTGAAGGGGGCCCCTAATGCACTATGACTGGTGTCCTTATAAGTGAGGAGAGACACACAGACTTTCATGTGACAACAAAGGCAGAGATTAGAGTGACGAACGTGCAAGCCGAGGAACATCAAGACTTGCCGAGAGAAC